TTTGAAGTTCCTAGGCCTAAGCGTTTTTAGTTAATTGATCAGAAACCGTTTTTAACATACAAGGTCAATGTGACCTTGACCTTTGACCCCAAAATCAATAGGGGTCATCTGCTGCTCATGACCAATCACCATGCCAAGTTTGAAGTTCCTAACCCCAAGGGTTCTTTAGTTATTGATCAGAAACCGTTTTTACTTACAATGTCAATGTGACCTTGACCTTTGACCCCTTGATCCCAAAATCAATAAGGGTAATCTGCTTGTCATGACAAATCACCATAGCAAGTTTGAAGTTCCTAGGCCTAAGCGTTCTTAAGTTATTGATCAGAAACCGTTTTTACTTACAAGGTCAATGTGACCTTGACCTTTGACCCCTTGACCCAAAACTCAATAGGGGTCATCTGCTGGTCACGACCAATCATCATACAAAGTTTGAAGTTCCTAGGCCTAAGCGTTTTTAGTTAATTGATCGGAAAATGTTTTTACCTACAAGGTCAATGTGACCTTGACCTTTGACCCCTTGACCCCAAAATCAATAGGTCATCTGCTGGTCATGACCAATCACCATACCAAGTTTGAAGTTCCTAGGCCTAAGGGTTCTTAAGTTATTGATCTGACACCGTTTTTGCCTAAGAGGTCAAATTGACCTTGACCTTTGACCCCAAAATCAATAGGGGTCATCTACTGATCATGACCAATCACCATATCAAGTTTGAAGTCCCTAGGCCTAAGGGTTCTTTCGTTATTGATCGGAAACTGTTTTTACCTACAAGGTCAATGTGACCTTGACCTTTGACCCCTTAACCCCACAATCAATAGGGGTCATCTGCTGGTCATAACCAATCACCATACCAAGTTTGAAGTTCCTAGGCCTAAGGGTTCTTTTGTTATTGATCAGAAACAGTTTTTACCCAAGAGGTCAATGTGACCTTGAACTTTGACCCCTTGACCCCAAAATCAATAGGGGTCATCTACTGATCATGACCAATCACCATACCAAGTTTGATGTTCCTAGGCCTTAAAGTTCTTTAGTTATTGATCGGAAACCGTTTTTGCTTACAAGGTCAATGTGACCTTGACCTTTGACCCCTTGACCCCAAAATCAATAGGGGTCATCTACTGGTCATGACCAATCACCATACCAAGTTTGAAGTTCCTAGGCCTAAGGGTTCTTTAGTTATCACTCGGAAACCATTTGGTCTACGGACCGACGGACCGACAAGTGCAAAGCAATATACCCCCTTTTCTTCGAAATGGGGGCATAATTAACCAAAATGTGACTCTGACAGAAGCAGGGGTGAGTACAGCTCATCCTTATCTTAAAATAGATGAGCTAAAAAAACACTATACACAAACCAATCTATACATGTATATAGATTTATTTATCAAAGTTCTATTATTTCCAATTTTATAATTATTTCATTAATGTAAATTTATTTTCTCACTGCCTAGTTTTCATGTGTATGTTAAATGATTTTTACCTTGTCTATACTCTTTGTTCTAAAATGTTGAAAGATGATCACAGTCACTAGGCAAGTGAGCAGTATTACACCAAACACTAGTAGAATCTTCAACTTGTCATTCTGTCGACGATGTCTCGAACTTTCCTTTTGTTCTATTGGATCTGTCAGAAAAAAATGACAATATATTTAGAATAAATACTACATATATGTGGTTACCTAAATGTTGGACAACTATACATGCACTTATTTAAAAAAAAAAATTTGTTTGTTAAGTTTACAGTTAGCCCCGCCATTCAAATCGAGTGCATTATGTAAAGAGGCAGAGTCCCATTAAATCAGCTCAATTAACATATAAATTTTAAATTTACTACATACAGTTGAGTTACAGCACTGTATGGTAAATATCTCGGCAAAATTTAAACAAAATAGAGAGATTTCATTGGCACACAAACCATAAATACCATTAAATGATAAATTATTAATTTTAGATCACAAAAACAATGAATGATTTTTCATACTATTTGTACCCAAATAGTTATTCTTATAAGGCAATATTTACAATATATCAGATCATAATGGAAAGCTAAAAGTTAATTTTGCATAAAGCATAATTATTATACAATTATGATCATCCAATATATATCCATATTGTTTAATGTAGCATCTAATATGATTATCTTATATCGGACAGTTAAGTGTGTTTGGTCTTTTACATGTTAGTGGCGTCTACGATAAAAGCCTTTCATGATAAAACTATCCGAACAAATTCTACTAAGAGTGGTGCAAACATCTTGCAACTTCAACGCTGAACAATAATATGTTTCCTAATGTAATTTGGATATAGAATAAGCAGGTTATTAAACAATAAGCAAGTACAATATGGGGATATATCTAAACTCGTACACAGCTTTAGAAATCATATTACACTTTCATGGTGGCTCGTCCAATATGGTTCTTCCAGCTGTGTACTCGTCTAAATTTATTCACGTATTGTACAGTGAAATATTTAATAACCTATAAGTATCACCCATATTTTTACCATTTGTTTAATTCTGTACTTTATATCACCCTCTATTGTATCCATTAACTTAACTTATCACCAAATATACAAACGTATATCTTTATGTTTATTAACCTTACAATATGTAAATGCTTTTAATTAAGAGAACTAACACCCTGACTTTGTTATTAAACAAACAGTCAAGTTTTTAGAATACGGATGCATTTAATGTTTAGAAACCTTACAATATGTATAAATGCATTGGAGGACAAACACCCTGACAATGTTATTGAAAACAAACAGCTGATTTTTTAGAATACGGATGCAATATTCAACCACAAACTATGTATCAAATAAAACTTTGACCCCTTGACCCCAAAATCAATAGGGGTCATCTACTGATCATGACCAATCACCATACCAAGTTTGAAGTTCCTAGGCCTTAAAGTTCTTTAGTTATTGATCGGAAACCGTTTTTGCTTACAAGGTCAATGTGACCTTGACCTTTGACCCCTTGACCCCAAAATCAATAGGGGTCATCTACTGATCATGACCAATCACCATACCAAGTTTTAAGTTCCTAGGCCTTAAGGTTCTTTAGTTATTGATCGGAAACCGTTTTTGCTTACAAGGTCAATGTGACCTTGACCTTTGACCCCTTGACCCCAAAATCAATAGGGGTCATCTACTGGTCATGACCAATCACCATACCAAGTTTGAAGTTCCTAGGCCTAAGGGTTCTTTAGTTATCACTCGGAAACCATTTGGTCTACGGACCGACGGACCGACAAGTGCAAAGCAATATACCCCCTTTTCTTCGAAATGGGGGCATAATTAACCAAAATGTGACTCTGACAGAAGCACTGGTGAGTACACCCTGACAATGTTATTGAAAACAAACAGCTGATTTTTTAGAATACGGATGCAATATTCAACCACAAACTATGTATCAAATAAAACATGAACTGGTAATATTTAATATGAAACACAGCTGGTAAATATAAATTCAGTAAGTTAAAAGGATTTACATATATTTGTGGGTATAAATTGCTTTAAATTGAATAGAATGTCCAAGCTGCTGAATAAAGTCTTCTTTAATTACTTCTATGAAAAATATGAACAATTCAAGTTTGACAACACATTATCATATACATGTATAACAATAAATGAAACTCTGGAAATAACACAAACAAAATTATCTATAGAAAAAAAAATCAGCCTTAATATCATCATTGAAGGTACTTCAATGAGTTTTGAACTTCTTACATAGATCAACTCAGGCACTTCAAACAGAAAGATGTTAAAGAAATATACTCAGAATAAAATTGAAAATCGTATTTTGTGTTACCTTTGTGCCCAAACTGAATTAAAGCACATTAAAACGCTTTTCATTTTTGGGTCATTTTTACAATTTAAATCATTATTTTGGAAAAACTATGTGAGCACATGATATAATAGTTATTTGTCCCCATTTAAATCAAATAGTACATTGTACAAAAAATTCAAAGAAATGTTTTCGGTTCATGTCAAAAAACTACATAGAGTCTCTGTATGAAGAACAAAAGAACAAGAGCCTGGTTTGAGCCGGGTGATGCTCCCCGAATAGGTTTTGGACACAGGAAAGTACACCTCTTGTAGTTTCAGAGTTATGTCCCTGGAAAAAGTTCAAAGTGCAATAATTCCAAAATTAGGAAAGGCAGAGTTACTGTTCTTTGCACTGCATTTCTTATCACTGTTATCTATCAACTTACAAAGTTTCTTGTTGATATCTCTTATGGTTTCCGAGTTATGTTCCTGACAACTTCAAAAAGTAAAAATAAACAAATGGCAATAACTCCAGAATTAGGCAAGGCAGAGTTATGATTCTCGTGCACTGCACATCTACCCATTGAGATACATCTACCTACAAAGTTTCATGTTGATATCTCTTATAGTTTTACAGCTATGTCCAGTACAAGATTTTTCTAAAAGGGGAGATAATTCAAAAATGAGGCTTAACAGAGTAATGGTTTTTTTGCACTTCACTTCTACTCAATGAGATCTATCTACCTACAATGTTTCATCTTGATATCTCTTATAGTTTTAGAGTTATGTTCCGGACAAAGTTCAGTGTTAAAATCAACAAAGGGCTATAACTCCAAAATTAGGACAAAAAGAGTTATTGTTCTTATGCACTGCACATCTACCCATTGACATCTATTCACCTACAAAGTTTCATGTTGATATCTCTTATAGTTTTAGAGTTATGCCCCGGACAAGATTTTTCTATAAGGGGAGATAATTCAAAAATAAGGCTTAACAGAGTTATGGTTTGTTTGCACTGCACTTCTAGTCAATGAGATCTATCTACCTACAATGTTTCATCTTGATATCTCTTATAGTTTTAGAGTTATGCCCCGGACAAGTTTTTCTATAAGGGGAGATAATTCAAAAATAAGGCTTAACAGAGTTATGGTTCTTTTGCACTGCACTTCTAGTCAATGAGATCTATCTACCTACAATGTTTCATCTTGATATCTCTTATAGTTTTAGAGTTATGTTCCGGACAAAGTTCAAAGTGTTGAAATTAACAAAGGGCAATAACTCCAAAGGACAAAAAGAGTTATTGTTCTTATGCACTGCACATCTACCTATTGAGATCTATTCACCTACAAAGTTTCATGTTGATATCTCTTATAGTTTTAGAGTTATGCCCATGACATGATTTTTTATAAGGGGAGATTATTCAAAAATAAGGCTTAACAGAGTTATGGTTCTTTTGCACTGCACTTCTACCCATTGAGATCTATCTACCTACAATGTTTCATCTTGATATCTCTTATAGTTTTAGAGTTATGCCCCGGACAAGATTTTTCTATAAGGGGAGATAATTCAAAAATAAGGCTTAACAGAGTTATGGTTCTTTTGCACTGCACTTCTAGTCAATGAGATCTATCTACCTACAATGTTTCATCTTGATATCTCTTATAGTTTTAGAGTTATGTTCCGGACAAAGTTCAAAGTGTTGAAATTAACAAAGGGCAATAACTCCACAATTAGGACAAAAAGACTTATTGTTCTTATGCACTGCACATCTACCTATTGAGATATATTCACCTACAAAGTTTCGTGTTGATATCTCTTATAGTTTTAGAGTTATGCCCCGGACAAGATTTTTCTATAAGGGGAGATAATTCAAAAATAAGGCTTAACAGAGTTATGGTTCTTTTGCACTGCACTTCTTGTCAATGAGATCTATCTACCTACAATGTTTCATCTTGATATCTCTTATAGTTTTAGAGTTATGCCCCGGACAAGATTTTTCTATAAGGGGAGATAATTCAAAAATAAGGCTTAACAGAGTTATGGTTCTTTTGCACTGCACTTCTTGTCAATGAGATCTATCTACCTACAATGTTTCATCTTGATATCTCTTATAGTTTTAGAGTTATGTTCCGGACAAAGTTCAAAGTGTTGAAATTAACAAAGGGCAATAACTCCACAATTAGGACAAAAAGACTTATTGTTCTTATGCACTGCACATCTACCTATTGAGATCTATTCACCTACAAAGTTTCGTGTTGATATCTCTTATAGTTTTAGAGTTATGCCCCGGACAAGATTTTTCTATAAGGGGAGATAATTCAAAAATAAGGCTTAACAGAGTTATGGTTCTTTTGCACTGCACTTCTTGTCAATGAGATCTATCTACCTACAATGTTTCATCTTGATATCTCTTATAGTTTTAGAGTTATGCCCCGGACAAGATTTTTCACAGAGTTATGGTTCTTTTGCACTGCACTTCTAGTCAATGAGATCTATCTACCTACAATGTTTCATCTTGATATCTCTTATAGTTTTAGAGTTATGTTCCGGACGAAGTTCAAAGTGTTGAAATTAACAAAGGGCAATAACTCCAAAATTAGGACAAAAAGAGTTATTGTTCTTATGCACTGCACATCTACCCATTGAGATCTATTCACCTACAAAGTTTCATGTTCATATCTCTTATAGTTTTAGAGTTATGGCCCGGACAAGATTTTTCTATAAGGGGAGATAACTCAAAAACCGGGCAAAATAGAGTTATGGTTCTTTGACACTGCACTCCATCTCAATGCCCTCTACCACTGTATGAAGTTTAAACAAATTATCTCCAAGGGTTTTCAAGTTATGCTCTGGACA